GATCAGCAGCTACTGATCTTAACAGTATAGCTCTAGTTCTGCTAGTCCTTAGGCCTCTGCTTAAACTTAATGCTTCAGTAGAGAAGCAGAAAAATGCAAAGCAGTAAATGTATTTCTTTCAGTGCATTTTATTTTACTCTACTGAAATTTTGTTTTTCTGAAGTCGCAGTACTAATGTTTAAGTATGAATAATATTTTCTTTGTTAATAGCTTCAAAGTAGAAGGAATTATAGAATATCCTGAGTTGAAAGGGACTCACAAGGATCACCAAGCCCAACTCCTGACTTTAAGCAGGACAATCCAAAAATCAGACAATATGACTGGGATTGCTGTCCAAACACTTTTTGAACACAGGTTGGTGCTGTGACCACTGCCCTGGGCAGCCTGTTCCAGTGCCCAGCACAGTCTGGTGAAGAACCTTTTCCAGATATCCAACATGAACCTCCCAAAAATGTTTGACATAGACATTTTTGTAGTCCAGAGTAAATCTCTGGAGTCTGATGTAAGGTTAGAGGTATGAGACAGGTGAAAGTCATGATTAACTGTAATTAAAATGTCACAGGCTTTTCACTGACTTTAAAAATAAATGATGTAGCTGAAAACAAGATTAAGTATCTAAGTCACTTTCCAGTGATGAATCTCAATGAGCTAATCCTTTCTGAGATCAAAAGAATGAAACAAACAAAAAACCAAACAAACAGAAGTGAATAGGACAGGAATGAAAAGTGGAAAGTCTGAATATATCTAGCCAAAAGAATGGGGAACAAAATTTTATGTAACATTTATTTTGAGTTTTAGTTCTTTATAATAAGGAAAAAAAATACAGAATTATTTTGTTTTCCCTCCCAAGTGGGGTTTCTTAACTTCATCGATTCTCTGCTGCAGAATTGCAGTTTAGTTGCTAAATCCTTTAAATCTTTAAAGAAGCTGATTTGCACTCATTCGTGCCTTAATGAATCTAATATTTACTCTCCAGAAATACATTGCATGATTATGTTTTTTAAAATATGTGTGCTTATTTTTTTTCTCTCTATATGTCTAATGGACCTGAACCAACTGGAAATATGTGTAGTCACAAAATATGATGAGATCTCATTATACAAAAAAAAAATACAAGGAGGGTTTCAAACGTGGAGCTTTTATATTTTACTAAGCAAAGAAAAATGTGGCTCCCTCGAGTGCTGTCACTGCCTACTGCTTTCTCTTCAGGAGGAGCAATGACAGGACTGCAGTGGAGGCAGAGCGGACAGCAGCAGCTTAGACCAGAATGAGCAGAGGGCAGGGGAAGTCTTTTTATCAGGAGCAATAGTACATTTTTAAAGCATTTCTGAAAAGTTGACATGGTGTGACACCTCGAGTTGTGTGCATGCGGGGGCGAAGATGTGCGGGTGTGCCTTTTTTCCATAGAAATATTTCTCAGAACAGGAGGTGCTCATCCCACACGTACCAGGCTGAAAGCAAAGAAACTGTGTTCAGAAAGATGCTAAATAAAGCAAGTGTTTAAGCAGAGGAGAAGGAAGATGAAAGAACAGTTCTAATGTGGATGTCAAAATAAGAATGGGACAATTGTTTAAAACAAAAGCCTAAAACATTTCAGTGTACTTGGAAAATTGAATTAGAAATATATAGGCCTGGTTCTCCACTGCTTGTCATTACATAATCAAGTTTTGCACAGTACCATACTGTAAGGATGAAAGTGATTTATATCTTTCATCAGGAGTGCAAATGGCTGAACTTCGCTTCATACTGCCAGGTAAAATATGCAAGCAAAGCAAAGAATTAAAATCTATCACAATGTTTGTGAAAATAACTATGATAGAGTATATAGTGACTGAGAATATAAAAAAATCTTCCTATTTTAGTTTGGCTGTTCCTACATAGTTCTCTTAACTTTTAACAAGGCAAGAGTAAATGGCCTCAAGTTGCACCATGGGAGGTTCAGGTTGGATATTAAGAAAACATCTCTTCTCAGAAAGAACAGTGAGGCAGTGGCACAGACTGCCCAGGGAAGCAGTGCAGTCACGGTCCCTGGAGGTGTTCAAGAAACATGGGGATGTGGCACTAATGGACATGGTTAGTGGACATGGTGGAGATGGACTGATGGTTGGACTGGATGGCATTAGTGGTCTTTTCCAACCTACATAATTTTAGGATTCTGTGATTATTAGCATTGTGTATTGAATATTTTCACTGAAGTTGCAAGGCAACATCAGCTTTGTAATGTACAGGTTGCGGAACACAATGATATATAGTAGTATTGCACATTATTAGGAAGCTGATATGTTGTTGAACAAATGTAACACAGATAATGAATTAAAAGAACACATACTCATGATTGTCATTTTCTTGATTTTTTGATTCACAGTTCACCATATGTGTAATATGTATTCTTCTAGTAAATGTATAGCAGGGCAGTGGGGAAGAAGGCCATTTTTATGTACTCCTTGATGCTGCCTTTTTGGATCAGGTATAATTTCTCTGGAAGGAGGGAGGTACATAGTCACAGGTATACATTATAATTTCTCTAATAAGAATGTTTAGATATAAGAAGCACCTTGGCATTGGGGTGACATTGGCAGGAAATGAGTAGGACAAGCACACACATGAGTAGCAAGCACACACACAGGAGCAGATGAGGATGCATGGGGGCTTCAAAGGAATAGCAGTAGTAGGGCTTGCACATTAGAAGTATTAAGGTTGCACAGTGAATAAGACAAATATACACATTATTTGTTAAGCAGGCAGTTATTGGAAGCCAGTGGAAAGCGAGAAAGGATCTAACCTGTTAGAATATGATGGTCAAAAGAGAGATGTGATATCAATTCCCTTTTTATTTATTAATTTTCCCTAGCTGATCAGAATCTGCTCTCTGTCTAAAAAATCAAAATAGAATAAAATTTTATAGTGGCTTCAGGAACTTGACATTTTTAAATGTCAAGTACCATTGTATGAATAATACTTCTCTGAGTAAATTCTTAGAATAATAGAATTGTTTGAGTTGGAAGAGACTTTAAAGACTATCTAGTCCAACTCTCCTGCAATGAACAGGGACATGCACAGCTAGATCAGGTTGCTCAGCATCTGATCTAGCCTGGCCTTGAGTGTCTTCAGGCATGGGACATCCGCTACATCCCTGGGCAGCCTTTTCCAGTGCCTCACCACTCTCACTGTAAAACACTTTTTCCTTATTATATCCAGTCTAAACCTCACCTCTTCTAGTTTGGAATCATTTCCCCTTGTCCTGTCACAGCAGACCCCGCTGAAGAGTCTGTTCCTTCCCTTCTTGCAGCCCCCTTTAGGTACTGAAAGGCAGCTATCAGTTCTCCCTGCAGCCTTCTCTTCTCCAGGCTGAACAGCCCCAGATCTCAGCCTGAGTTATGTCTTCTTTTCGGTTTAATGAATTTCTTTCTTTTCTGTCCTTGTCTATCATTAACTTTCTGTCTCCTTCATTGCAGTCTTCATGGATCTTCAGGTTCTTTATTCTTTTTTTTTTTTTTTTTTTTTTTTTTGGTAAACTCATTAGACATGGTTCCTTTTCTCTTTCAGCATCTCAATATTTCAATCTTTCTAGTCTCCAAAGACAGAAAGAATGTAATTTTTCTGTTCTGTGTTCCATTGATAAATTATTAAAAACTGTAGGCTAGACATTTTCATTCCTATTTTTCATTGTTTCATGGAGACCAGGCAAGCGTCAGAAGTCAGACTGCCACAGTGAAATTTTCATCCTGCCAATATGAATGGAATCATTTGTTCCTAGATTTAGGGTGGTATTCTTGCCCACATGAAATCCTGCTATCTTTTGCAGCTGGCTTAGAGGCTAAGCAGGTCACCCCATACTGGTGATTTCTCCAGCACCTCTAATTTTGACAGGTTCGATACAACCAGCATTCCAATTAATACAGTTTACCAGCATTTTTTCTCCTATATTTATAATAAAAATATTATACCAAGTAGGATCTAAATTTAGCTCAGTCCCACAGTTTTATGTTTCATCCAGACTGCTGCTGCAACCATCCAATTCCATGAATCTGGCTATAAATTCATATTAAGATTTTTTTTTTCTTTGCTTGGTTTTTTAACTGATTTTCATGCATTTAATGAATATCATTTTTCCTGTGCAATTTTCTTAATTCTCCTTCATGAACTGCAGTTGTTACCTTACATAAAAGAAAGCACACAAGTATGTATTAGTGATATTTTTTGACGTAAAGACATAAATAAAATACAGAATCTCACTGAACAGTTTGAAAGATCAGACCTTTTACAGTGTACAAAAAGCAGTGGGGTCATTAATCTTATTCAACACCAAAGTCTTCAAAAAGATGATAGTGCTAGTCCTAACTGTGAAAAATATGCATTACAAATATTGCATTCTAGAAGCCATGTGTGGTTGAGTCTCTGAATACCAGAAACATTGCCAAATTTGCCTTGGAAGTTTTTTTAGTGTTTATTTGGTGTGTAAAGAGTGAATTCTATTACTAAAAATAGAAACTCAGAAAAAGGAAATTTCAGTCTAAATGATTTAAAATATAATACATCTATGATCTGTATATGGCTGTAATCTTGACTTTATCTGTAAGTCTCTGTTCAAATAGCCTGGCTGTCGTACAGACTTCACCTGAGTACAGGAGTGTTTAAGAACATTTTTCATCTTAAATGGTGAGATTTTTGAATGAGAGTTCATAGGCCGGAATGTGATGTAATATAATTTGCTAATACATGTCCTCAAGGGCACATCAAACTATTTTAGTTTTATAAGCAATGAAGTGAAGGCAGAATAAGAATATCACAAGTTTTATGTGACTGATCCCATAATTTACATTGTTGAATATTTGCTTAAACTGTTAATATATTCAAAATTTATAGAAATAGCCTTCTTGAAATGTCAGCACAACCTCACAGTTCCATTAAAGCTGGTTGGGCTAGAAAAGTATTGAAATATACTCATATGTAGGCATAAATGACAGTGGGCTTTTTTCCTGTTTTTGCTTGTTTTTCAGCAGATGCTTCTGAAATACCTGAGAGACAAAGTAATCTGATGTTTGCCAAGCCAGGAGGAAGTGTCACTTTTACTTGCCCTTACGATATTGGAGGTTTGGTGCAGCAAGTGAAATGGGAAAGGATTAAAGCAGGTGGGACAGATACCATTGTCCTGTGTAACTCAGGAGGAGAGCGAAGATTTGGTTCAGATTTCATAAAACGTGCACTGGTGGATTGCTCTGGTCAGGCAAGCTCAACGATTGTCATTCAAAACGTCACAGCTTCCGACTTCGCAAAGTACCGCTGCATGGCTACTGGAAGAAATAAAACCTTTGAGATGAGTTTCACTGTGGTTGGTAAGTAAAGAAGGTAGTGGTAAATGTTTTCAGGACCTTCTGAGGCATCAGCATCTTCACCCATAACAAAGAACACTCCAGTAACAAATGAGAGTTTATTCAAATGCCACATTCAAATTAGCAGTGTGAGAAAGATGACAAAGTTAACAATCAGTCTGGTTTCCATGGAAATAAGCTGGTTTAGCTTGTCTAATGTCGTAACAGGACTTCAGATCTGTTTGTGAGAAGCTGATTTGATGATAGGAAGGAGACTCTTTGAAAGAGGAGACTGCAGAGTTTGCAAGGGAAGAACACTGATCTCCTGAAGACGTGGGGCGGTCCCCATTAACACAGTGTACTGCAGGGCATGAACCTTGGTCCTAGGTGAGAGACCTGTCTTCCAGTGGGAACTAAGAGCAAACTTCTGTTGTAAATGTAGAATCTGTAGAATGGACTGTGCTTTGTTCAAGTAAGGAATTTCCATAGCGGGAGCTGAATAATTCTTCAGGTTTTGCTGGGACTATTTTCACAGTTTGATTATAATGGGAGCTTCGGTCTCCATACACAGACAGATAAAATTAGATTGCTCAAACTGTGAGCTAAATCCCACTTTTAGATCTATGTTCTGTTATGACTGTAAAAACAGTTCAGTTTTAGTTCTTCTGTGTAGAAGAACTTTTTCTCCTTTTGAAAACAGAGTTCTTGTACCACCCCAGCCCTTCTTCTCCTGTTGCAGCATTCAGGCCAGCTCTCTGCTGTCTTTGGTACTGCCTTTGTTAGTGTTAATAAATGAATGCTGGCAGACATCTGTTTGGCAGCACGTAGAGCTGTGGCATGCAGTATAGAGCTTCAGAATATGCTTTATCTCAGATACATGTATTGAGAATGCACTCAGGAAGAAAAAGTTGATAGATTTTACTCTGAACACTTGGCCACAAAAGTCCATGAAAATGAACAAAATGTGATGAAGCATCAGGCAAATAATTTCTCTCACCTCTAAAATTTTTTAACATTCAATTTTCAAAATATTGACTATATTCATATAATTAAGCATTCACAATTTGTATAGCAATTAAAATATTTTGTTTGCTCCAAACAAAGTGTTTCTTGTACCAAACCTAAATCAAATAATGAGTTGCCAAACAGCCTCAACTTTAAGACCTACCTATGCAAATTCTTTCTAGTTAAAAACAAAACAAAGCAAAAAATAGATAAAGATATTGCCTGTTTTGATCTTGAAGAAAATTCTATTTATCGTAGCTGGTTTTAACACCAGCATAGTTATGCGTTACTGTTGGAGAAAAAAGGTATGAAACCACTGAAGAAGCTCAAGTGTGATTCAGAAAACAGTCCTCCTCTAAAACACTCTACATTTTGATACACTTTATTTTGCTTTTTTTTGTTATTCCAAAAGAAGTGAAGCATCAAAGATTTCCAATTGTTTGCCCTTAATGTTTAGATATGTTTCATAATGCATGACTATTAGTTCCACAGGGATATGGAGAAATGCTAAGAGGAAAGCAGAGAGAGGCCAGGTGTCAGCTCCCACAGGCCCTGTGAAGAACTTCACTCAGAGTTTCTTACTCTGCTTTGGTGCAGTTTTAATGAAAGAATGATGACAGAAACTAGATGTGTTGATTTTTGTATATGCTCTATCAGTTCAGACACTTCATTTTCCTCGGGTAAGTTGTTACAGCTAAGCCACAGTCTAGGCTTGGATTTGGCACCAAACTCTTCCAATGATTTTATTCTGTTGATGTAATTCTGCATGGGTACTGCAAATCTTCTTACCTTGGCCAGTGACAGAGACACTCAGAAATACAGAGTCTAGGAGCCGGCAGAATAGTTGCACTGTGAATAGTAATAGGGAGAACTCTGTTTTGGTTGAGAGAGTAAGAGGAAAGCAAGAGGAAAAATAATAAACTTTTTGTGTTTATTTTAAGAGAAGCTGTGTATTTAAAGATTCTAAGAATTTCTGAAGAGGAAGAAACTCGTAGGAAAGGAGATATAAAGTAAGGACAAGAGATTATCTGCAGAAATGATAATAATTCTAAAACCACAGATTCTGAGAGGTTACACAGGAGAAAAATGAAGCTTACTTCTTGTCTGAAGGTGGAAGTATTATTGCAAGGAGAAATAACATGAAATTCCTGTGAAGAAAAGAAGAGGAATGTAAGAGCAGATATTTAGGTATGGGAAAAGCCTTGGCTGCTCTTGCAGTTGCGTCAGTAGAAGTCAGCATGCTTCATTTAATGTTTTTCATCATCAGTGAAAACAAAACCGTGGGACCTGTTCAGTATCATTGCCAGCTCTTTCCCACCAAATATTGTTATTTTTGTTTAATAGTAACAGAATTTCTAGCTGAAATGGCAGTTCTACAAATCTGTTTTTGACCTTAAAACCTAGAAAACATAAAGTAACATATATGTAAATCAGTGTGGATTTGCCAAACAACAGCTGCAGAAACAGAAGGCTGAGTATTACATAATTATGTAACATGTTCAAGAGATTTAAGATTAATTTCTGTATGCTCCTCACTGTTCTGCTGTTTCTGAAAATTCTGCTAATATGGTCATGTCACCAGATTTCACGTCTGAACCAATCTTTAATTTTTACTTACCCCATTTTTCCCTCTGATTAATTCTTTTCAGCAAGTTTCTGAAGGAAAGAAGCAGATTTGTTATAATTTTGTTTTGGTATATAAATAGGTATTCATAGGTACATTGGTATACAAAAGAAAGGGAGAATGAAAGAAATTGAAAACATGGAAGAAACTGTTATTTCATCCTGAAGACCTAAATGTTGTGGAAAGATTTAATTTCAAAATGAAAATTTACAGGCTTTGAACACCTCTCTCTGGCAGCAGCCACAGAATTGGGCTGACATCTGAGCTCAATGTGTGCAAATGTGGAGGCTTGCAGCACAAATGCACCTTTTGGTATTGGCAGGAGATGAAAGAAAAAAGGCATAGTGAAGTCACATTTCTCCCTACTGATTTACTTGTGTTATGGATAGACTTTAAAATGCCACTTCAGCTGTTTCAGGTGGCTGGGTAAAGCTCTGCAGTGGTTTCTGGGCCACCAGAGACAGTGCCAGCTGGGCAGCCCCTGGGACTACCTTCTGTGCAGTTTGAGACCTGGTGATCTGTGCATGAGGATGATGGATTGAATTTGGGTTGTGCCAGTGAGATGTGAGTTAATGATGTAAGGAAGGTCTGTGCTGATTTTTTTTTTCTTTCTGGTTTTGGCTTTTTTCATACTTTTTTTATTGTTACAATTTACTATCATTTTGAACCCACCTATTTTGCATGAAAACTACTGTAAAACACAAAAGCCTTATACGATTGAGCTCTATGCAGAATCTGTGTAGCAACTAATGCCTAAAATGGCTGGTAGGAAGCTGCTTCAGTTTCAGAGCACTACTAAATTTTCTCCAGTGTATTTTAGCTATAAAAGAGACTTTTCACCTTAGGAACTACTTCCTGATGCCTTCAGTTTTAAAGAACAGGAAGCAAATAATCACAAAGATAACAGGTCAGCATAAGGCAAACCCAGCATTTAGAAAAAAATGGCAGATGAAATGAAAAGCAGGGCAGCCCTTGTAGAGTCACAGCGGGTTATCACACAATCCTTCCAAGCTGGGAGAAAGCAGCAGTACTTCTGTGCCACAGAAAATGAACACAACATAATGCTGTTCTAGTGGGTGAGGAGAATCAAAGTATGAGTGAAATTAGCTTCCTTCTTCATACATGAATTCTTCCTGTATGCATGCAAGATATCAGTCTTTGTCTGTGGATCTCTACTCAAAAAAGCACTTTTCTCTGAGCATAAATGCAGTCACTCTGGATTTCTATCTTTCACTTGTGGGCAAAATTATTTCAGTGATGTCTAGTTACATAGCTTACATGTCAGATCAGCAAGGCATGTGACAAGCTACATGTACATATTCACAGTGCAGTTAAAATCTCTTGTTAGGACAAATAAATGTCTGCCCCACCAGTACTTTCTCCTCAAAACCAAAGCACTAAAGTCTTAGCACAGAAAAGTTTCAGAGTCTTGTAGAGAAAATGCCAAGGCTACAAAGCTATTGAGGGAGCAAATATTGTCTAATAATGGGAATTTTACTCAAATCAACATATTGCCTTTGATGAGAACACAAGAGCTAAAGAGACACATGGCAAACCTGTAACGTGTTTCTTCAAAACCTAGAATGTTATGTTAAAGTTGTTAATTATAATAGATTTTGTATTGTTAACAAAAACAGCTGCTTCAGGAAAGGTTTACTTATTAAGATGAGAAAAGGCAAAAGGTCTTTTGAGTTGTTATTGCTTCCAAAAAAAATCTAATGACTTCTCTCATCCAAATTGAACTGACAGCTGATAATCCCAGTTCTCAAACTCATTCAGTCATAGATTGTTATCTTGACCTGATAAACTGAAGGTGAAATGCCATGAAAAGAAAAAAATGAAGTCTGGAGGGATTGGACTGCAGGATGGAGACATTGCTGAAGTCTGGAATTCTATCCACATTCACCCACCCAAAATGGTAATTAAGCATACAATTTTAAACAGAGTAGCAAAAATTTCTTTGTTGCTTACAGAGTGTTTTCTCCTTATTCCTGTAAGTATTCATTGGCACAGATGAAGATTTTCTGTGGCAAGTAGCCAAGAACTTGAAAAAAATATTTTTTCTTGGAGCTGGACATATGCATATGCACTATTCTGTCATTTCAAGCACGTAGACATTGAAAACATGCTGGAAGTAGAGTGTCTGCATTTTGTAGTTGTAATGACAGAAGTCATTAGTTTGTGTAATCAGGTAGCATTCTCTATTGTGTCACATACCTTCAGCAGCGTAAACTTTTGAGAGAGTAAGTAATATTGGAATCCAAGTGATAAGATTCATGTGTATTCAGTATTTTTTTGTTATCCTTTCCAATGAGCACATTAATACTAAATAGGCATACCTGAGCTGATTTCAATGGGTAATTTGATCCAGGAGAAAAGCCAACTGATGATGGCTCAGCAGATGGTTTGCTGAGATTATTGTCATTACCAATACTGATTCTTTTTCATTTGTCTTTGAATTAAGCGTATAGTTTTCTAGTCTATCCAGAATTAAAGCTCTTTGGAGCAGCTGTGGTTTCATCTTCAACTGCTCTTTCTCTCTACATTGTCTAGAACATTAAAGAGAGCTAACCTAAGTAGTTATTGCTCACCAATAACTTGTTAGTTTCTATCTGAAACACACAGAACAACTTTGTGTCCATAAGCTATGTTCGCTGTTTTGCATTAGGTAATACAAAACAGCACCCTATGACTTCTTTATACTGAAATTTCCCTTTTTATTGTAGAATCACAGAATATCCCAAGTTGGAAGGAACCCATAAAGATCAATCAGTCCTGCTCCTGGCTCCATGCAGGACCACCCAAAATACAAACCCTGTATCTGAAAGTGTTGTCCAAATGCTCCTTGAACTCGGGCAGCCTGGAGCTGTCGTCTTTTCCATGCTTGATCATCCTCTGGTGCAGACCCTTTCCCTGACCCCCAGCTGCCCCTCCCTTGACACAGCTCCATGCCGTTCCCTCGGGCCCTGTCGCTGTCACACAGAGCAGAGCTCAGCGCTGCCCCTCCGCTCCCTATGAGGAGCTGCAGCCATCATCAAGCCTCCTCTCAGCCTTCTTTTTCCATCCAGAAGCATCCTCACCTTTTCGTATGCCTTGCTTTTATTACTACATGTTGAGAAACTGAAGAACATGCAGGAAATATTTATTCAGTACATATTTGGACAGACTCACGCTCTCATCAAAAAGGTGCTATCACATAAGCTCACTGGAGTTTGCTAGAAGTTTGATGTTATTAGAAGTTGGTAAAACCACCTGACAAAGATATTTGCGGCTACTGCTAGTCACAAATACACTGTATACCGTGTTTATTACTTTCTATTTGTGATTGCTTGTTTTTTGTGCTGTTTACTCTCAAGTTTGCAGACAGCTAGCACAGAGACGCAACAGAAGCAGGAAACAGCACACTGTGGTGGGCTGCAAAAAGCTGAGTTAGAATTCTGTGGTTTGACATACTTTTTTTTCTTCTTCTTTTTAAGGATAGCAATAAATGATGATAAATATCATACATATTTTAAACAAATAACTATGTTGAGGACTAGAATTGTGGACTTGCTATGTGACTTTGAGCATATTACTTTTCCAGCTCTTTCCACTTGAAAGAATGACTCCCTCATGTTCATGGTGATCCCCTCATTATTACATGTTGATCTGCAGATTTATTTGAAGAAGTGATTCCACATTGGAGAAGACTATGCATTTGCAAAGCTCGAACTACAATAAATGTAACTTTCCCTTTCTCAGTTTTGATTCTCAAAGAAATAATTTTTGCTAATACTGGAACAGATAGGGTTGACATCCATCACCAAATTATTTGCAGTACAGGGCTATAAAAATTTGATCACAACAGAAGAATTTCTTGTGGAAATATTAAAAAATGAACAGATTTTGTTTTGAATCAGAGTTGAAAATAACTGATAAAAGTGTGAAGCACTGAATTCTGGGGCTGAGAAATTGTCTGGTTGCTCATGGAATTAATGCAAGTTCATTATGCATGTATCTTATGAGAAAATCTTTACAATGCCATGGATATTCATTTAAGTCATCGGAGTGCTTTTATTGACTAAATATTGAGTCACTTATGAGTGCTGTTGGACTGCTTTTTCACCACAGGAGGGAATGAGAGGAAAAGGAATACGCAAGACATCTCTGTTGTTTTTTTCTAGTACTGCTGCACTGTGTTCATTCACCTTCCACCATCTCAGTCGCAGCTTTTGTAAGCGCTAGTTCAGCATAACAAAGGCTCTTCAGAAATGAGGTAATGGTTGTGAGATCTGAATATTGAGCTTGAGATCTCATGGGATAATGTGCCTACATAATTGTTGATTTTCAGCTTAGTCTGTCATGGGAAGTTCATGATGTTTTATACAAAACTCTAACAATATTTATTGCAATCATATTCTAGCAACTTGGGATCACAAATGGCTTATTATCTACATAGCTGGAGGAACATCTGCTGCTGTTTTACTGTTAGTTTTCCTACTCATTTTCTGCATCACCACTGCTTATCGCAAAAAGTGAGTAACAAGTCAATCTGCTTGATATAAAAGCATGAAGCTATTCAGGTGTTAAAAGCTCTTCTATGCTTATCAGAGGCTATAAAAAAAAATGTAGACCTGGATATTTAATTTTCTTGCAAAAATTTTAAACTTGAAAAAACTAATCAGTTAAGCAGGTTATGAAATAAGTTGCTTTATTTTTCCCAATACAAGAACAAACAAAAACAACAACAAAACAAACAAACAAAAGATCTTACTCAAGTTCCTTAGCTAAATGCTTATTGTAATATTAACAGGTGATTAGTAAAGACTAACATAAGCTTATGCTGGACTGTTCCTATCTCATGCATAGAGAGCACATGTGACATCTTGAGGTTTTCTTACATCTTGTAGCTTTTTGTATCTACTGTATCTACACTAAGTATACAGTAGTAGTCAGATCCAGAATTTCTGCTTCCAGTGGAAGGAAGTATTGAGTAGAAAAAAATAAATATGCTTATTTCCCATTCACATCACATGAAGCTTCCGGAATTTGCTGGCAATCTGTCATTGTTCTTGCCCCTGAACAGGAGCTCTTTTGATGTGTCTCCAGACCATTAGAAAAGAGTGCTAGTCTCTTGCATGTTATGGTCTGCATTCAGAGGAAGGTGCATTGAATATTATTGATATCAATGGGCAAGTAAGTTACATCAGTGTTATCTCTTTTATGCTGGAATTAAATAGTTTGGACTATATTGTAACACATGATGCAGTTCCTTCCATTCTGTTTCTAACTGAATGTGTGTCACCAGGAAGAAGAGGAAGAAGATCACAGAGGCCTTATTTAATGCTTTGTACTGTACTCAGGACGAGGTGAGATCAGCTGGAGTTCACTCATACTTTGTATTTTGCATATTTTTTAACTTCATCTCTTCTGTATATGATGTTTACATTCCCTGAGTTGCATAGTATGATCTTAAACTACAGTTGGAAAAAAAGAAATATTTCTGTTCATACATTTCCATTGTTCTTTTTTTCTTGATGAAACAATTGTATTTAAAGATTTCTTCCATGTAGCTCTTTTGGTTTGCAACATTTGAACTATTTGATTATTGGCAATATTTATTTATTTTTTCCCTCAAGTTGCTAATTTCAAAACTGAGGCAAAAATCCCACCAAAAAATGTATCCTGTCATACTATTTGTGTTCACCTATTTCTAGTTCAGCTTCACTATAATTTGTTGGTATAACTGTTAAATTGCTTCTTTTTGTATTTTAAGAATCAGTCAACTATTTGGAGCTCTGTGACATTTTCCCTCTAATAATTCCATTCAAAGCCTGAGTAGAAAGAGAAGATCCAACTTTTCTGCTTCTACCTTGTCTCTTTATACCCTGAGCCAAGGCATGAAGTAGCAATGTGCTCGGAAAATGACCCACATAGTGGCTGTGACTCTGCCTTTCTATCTATTCCCCTAAGACAGCACTTGAGGAGATGTTCACTATAGATACAGACTTTTAAAAAAGTCCTTTAACCTTCTGCCTCTTCTGTGTCTCTCATTCTGCCTCTTGGGTCAACATTCACATCAGAATAAAGCTCTTGCTAGGCTAATCATAGCCTAGAGACTTGCCAATTACCTCAGAAACCATCTTCTGAAAGCACGGCAATTTTGAAAACATGACAACTAACAGAGGCACCACCATAGTAATGATTTGAGTAATTCACAGTATGGTCCATATCGTTACAGTAACTCACTTTTTAAGATTGATGTGGGTTACTGTTTCAGTATGTAAAGTGTGTACATGAAGAGAATGAAGCATTCCAGTGATACTGATACTTTGATACTTTACCAGTAATGCAATATGACACAGCTGTGAAGTATATTCAAAGAACAACTTTGAACTGAATTCAAAAGTTATTCATGAAACAGGAAGACAAAAACTACTTTCATGGTTGAGGATTTCCCAGTAACAAAACAGCATATGAGGAAAATTTTTTCTTTTTTTTTTTTCCAAAGTCGTTGTCAGAAAAGCCCTTCAACTTTCCCTTTTTCTTTTTTAAATGTTCTAGGCTGGTAACAATTATGCAGAACACAATTATCACACCACATGGGATATAGAAAGAGGAAAAGAAGAGTCATCATTCAGGACAGCACAGGAGATCTACGTGAACTGCATAAACCTAAGAAATGATAATTAGCTTCTTTCTTGTGAATGAAGTAACTCAAGTTCAGACCATGTCGTTGCATGTTGGACTTGATTTGTTTTGCACAGGTAGCTGCAGAAGGTTAAACTGGCTGCCAAGCATGGCCTATGCTGCCCTGTCCAGACAGCACAGGTACCCAAGCCAGTCAGGGTGCATCTGCATTATGAGACAGTCTGAAGCACTAATGCACCCTTTGATTCATATGTACAAGTGAAGACTATTGGTACTTCTAAAATTTAAACATTTTTACCCAGTAGGTGCACTTACAGGTAATAATTTCAGAACAACTATGCAGAGCAAAGCAGTATATGTTCAAATTACATTCATTTCATCGGAAGAAAAAATGTCTGAGAAGCCTGTGTGGCAAGGTGAGAAAGAAAACGTGCTCCATGTTCTCTGTATTCATGACTTTCAAATCTTAAAATTGAGAGCATAAAAAAAGTCCATGATTTTCCACACAGGAGGTGTTATCACACTGTTGGGCAAATAGTATTATTCAGCTGGCAAAAGCAAATGTATCAGGGAAACCTGAAGTTAGATTTGAAAGCAGGAAGAGAAGCGTGCTGTCTGACAGTGATGTGGTTTACATGCTTCTTGCCATTCACGACAGCTATTCCAGTGCTCACTGCTTGTGATAAAGAATAGAAACACAGTCCCCAGCCAACATGTACTTTCACACACATGCACACATTTTTTTTCCTCTCTCTGTTGAATGCTCAGGAGAAAACAAAACATTAAGACTCTGTTACTGTCAAGTTATATTTAATAATAATTTATTATAAGGTTTAGTTGAACGAAAAATAAATGAGAACATGGAAGATACATGAATAAATGATGCAAAGCAGAAAAAGCACGATTGAGAACATTTACAAAACAATACACAGATGTGTGTTTGTATGTGTTGCATATGTATATTTTCTGCTAAAAACTACAAAACGAACCACACAGAAATTGAACAAACAGACAAAAATAAAAAAAATAAAAATTAAACAAACAGAACTAGAAGGCAGACCTGAGAATTAGGATCTACACATCTTTTGGCCTTTCACAAATCTGCCATATTACTGAAGGATGGAATCCCAGTAGATGATATTACCATGAAAGCTGATAATTATACATGTCTGTATTCTACAAACTGTATGCCTGGCCCACCTATGCCTGATTCCCCTTTTCTCTTGTAGTATTACTAGAAGTGTGACTGAATATAACTTTTGTTTTGGAAAGGTTTTGTGGAAGGCATCATCAGTCTACCTACAAAACAGTTGCCGGCTCAACTTGGCTGGCAAAGGAGCAACAGGCTGACAGTGAAAAGCAGAAGGTATGTGGCTTTCTCCAGTGAAAGCTTTCTTCACATGCAAAGGAAAACATGAGTCTAGGTTCTTGAGTGGACACAAGACTACTTTGAACTATCTGTGTGATAATAGTATTGTATGGTTATCCTACACTTCAGCTAAAAATCTAAAAACGTAAGCCAGAGTCCTTCAACCTAGCATTGAAGACTCAGATTCTTTTACAGTGTCAAACACCATTAGAAAACATCTCATTTTGGTTTTGTGTACTCCTGAACAAGGACACATACACATGACAAGGGATATATTTTTCCTTTCACTTCTTGAAGGTAATCAGATATATAAATGCTTGCATGTGCGACTGATGAGGATACACAGAACTGTACTATTAATAAGTTGGTTTATTTCCTGAGTTATCATATGTCAAAGCAGATAATTCTAAGTTGTGCACAGCATTACAAATAAAACCCTGTAGCACTGGGTCATTTCTTTGATGATTCCATTTATATTAAAATGCCAAAATGGTGATGCAATGAATTGGATTACATTGAAGATCTCAGTTGGAATCCTGATACAGAAATATCCATAGCCGAGAAGTTGCTATTGATTCACTGTTTGTAGAGACTCTAATCACATCCCTACTTCTCTGAAGACAGAAAAGGGGACAGGTTAAGTATCTGTGATATCAGATTGCTTTTATTATATCTGATAATGCCCCTATTTCTTGCTTCCCTTGGTGCTTTTAGCTTGTCTGCATGCATTTTTTCTTTTTTTGAAAGAATTGCTTATTTTTGAGATTTAAGGAAGAAAAAAAATCTGTAGTGCACATCTTTGCAGATATTTAATCTAGTTTAATTCAAATTCCATAAACATAATACTTCTATCAAGATAGTCCACAGGGAAAGTCACATTACATATAACACAATAAGAACAGTGTTTTTTTTTTTTTTTCTCATAAAGCAAACTCAAAGCAACAGTTTCATTTTTGTATCATTGTAATATCAGTGAACAGCAGCTGAACATGAGACTGATACAAATAAAAAACAGAACAATTCATACCTCATCATTATTCTCTGTGGTTTAAAAACAAGTGAGTTATGCACAAGAAAAATGTCCAAAAGTGTCAACAGAAATGAGATATTAAATATCTTTAAATGCTTTATGAGTCCAGAAGGATAGGACCTAGCGAGAGCCTGTTTGCTGTAAATGAGTATGGATTACGTAAGTAGGCTGTCCCGTGCAGAATAATAAAGTCTATTGTTAATTTGTGTTTAAATCCAAAATTTCCTATAGATTTGCCTTTTTCTTTTGGAAACTGTTACTTTTTGGGGGGTAAAATTGATCAACTGTAACTTGGAAATTTCATCCTGAACAGTTACTGTGCTATTTAATCCAGTATTACTTGCTTGAATAGTTAAAAGAGAGGAGGAGAGAGAAAAAAAAAAAAAAAAAAAAAAATCAAGGAAGAAATATGGACATCAGATAGCTCAGAACGCTATCTCAACTGTCTTATTTATTGTTTTAAAGCCTTAGAAAGTCTACATAAAGGAAATGAAGATAGTAAAGCATTTTTCCATTAAAGAGTGTCTTGAGTCAGTGGATAACTACTTCCTGTGCAACAGGAAAATGAACCTATGACATTTTAAGAAAAGGAGAACTAGGCTTCTTTTCCATAATGATAAAAATTCACATTTTGCAATCATGGTTTATGCTGGGTGAAAAGGCAGCTGTTTAAGCCTCATGTACAAAAGAAAATTCAATTTTCGTTACTTCTAGTACCTTTTAGATTAATAGAAATACGAAGTCTTTAAGAAGCTTAAACTCATATCATTTTTAAAAAAAGAAATCAGAGAAAAAGAAAACATTTCAATTCTGTCTCTAAAACAAAACAGTCTGAAGTAGACATTTATTATTTTATTTATTTTAAGACAGGCAGTCACCAGACTTTGGATCAATGGAGAGAATACTAAACCCACTGTCTATGAAAGATGGTGCAAGTTAGAACAGTAAATTACATCACATCACCTCTTGTTACCATATCTTCCTTTCTTTATCTCAAATATGTCCCTATACCTTGAAGAGCTTCCCTAACCCTGTAATATATTCATGACAGTGACTGTTCTGCTTGTCTTTTCATCTTCCTTGGCTGTGCATCTTCAGGTTAAATGCACCAGTTAGGAAGCAGTTTGCTACGAGGGCTGGATCCAATGAGGAATGGGAGAACATTGTACAAACTCCACTTCAGGAAGAGTAGTCTAACACTTAATACTCTATCCAATCCCACCTGCCCTAAATTTCCAGGCACCTTTCCCATGAGGCTCCTTAAGTTTCGTAGTGACTGCTAGAAATAATTAGTTTTAACAAATGTGCTACACTAGCAAACCAACCACCCGCTCTTTGGATCTTGGTTTGATTTCAAAGGACTGATCTCAGCATCAGATTGATTTCTGTTATTTTTTTTTTTTTTTTTTTTTTTTGTGTGTGTGTAGATGTGTGTGGAACCGTAAAAACCTTTGGGATTCAGGGCTCTGTTTATTTTCTTTTTTATCTACATATCATGTCCCTCTAAACCTTCTGTGTCACTGAGCTATGTAAAAGTTCGAATCAATGATACTTATTTACACCCGCTAACCCTGCCTCAGTGAGTACTCCCCAGCACAAGTGGAATAAGGCTTATTTCTTTTAAAGTCAAATGCTCAATAGAAGTTAATCCTCTGAACAGCTCTGTACGTCTGACACTAAGGGTTAGTTCCAAATCCTCCCTGCAAGATAGGCTGGAGACTCCAGAAGCAGAAACTACACATCAGGTTCACAGACTGCTTTACTTAATGTGAAAGTACAGCAGTTCAACAGACATTTCAAATGCTCACACATTCCCAAGGAACTGGTCTAGAGCACAGAACTACTGAGAACAAGATGTGTCTCCACGGATATGCCATGCTGGCACGTGATGTCAAAGTACATATGGGGGTCAGGGTGACAACTTCCCCTTTGACATCTATTATGAATGGTCACACTCTGAGGCTACAGACACAGTGGTCTTCAAAGCACTAAGACTGATTGGGCCTTTCACTGGTAAATGACATCCCAGATGTTTCTGCCATAGTTGTTTCATACACACCAAATCAGCCAGGGAATGAAAGACCTTAGCTAAGTTCCTACTCTAGGCTGCAGCAGACACATCCCATCCTACTCTCCCACTTGAAGCTGGGCTCCTGTACTGAAACAACTCATGCTTTAAAGACTAAGAAGAAGAGCCAGGAGCGGGCTCACAGGACTTAGTAGGGCGCTCCTCCAGCAAGAACATTCTCATTTTTGCTTTCTCCCATAATGCTTTGTTTTCTCTGCTCTAGTCCTTCCTTACAGAATAATGACTGATGAGAAAAGGGTGAGAATGTGGATACCATAGGACAAATACATAGGAAGTTTGTGAACACATCCTTCGAAATAAGAGAGCCTCAGGTTTATCAAGATACCATCAGCTATGTGAGGCTGAGAGGCTGCTGGAGCAGAATGTGTCTGCTCTGATGAATTACAAAGGAGGAGTTTTACCTTACTGCCCGTGCCTGGGAATATAAGAGTCGAGCTAGAAACTACAAAGGAAATACAGAAATTTATAGAAAGTTTCAGAAAACTAGTATTTATTAGCTCCACATCAACACTGTTAGCCAATTAGATAAAATAGCTAAAATAAATTTCTAGCACCGTCTGACATTTTTCTTCTAATTTTATGCTTACTTAAAACAATCACTATGTAGTTTTAGAAATGGTGATTTTGACAGAGATTTATCACTTTTCTTAACAGTTTACTTAATTACAATGTTAAAGTAAATATTGATCTTATGAAGCAGTAAGTTTTCTAACATGATTTAAATGATAAACAGCTTATCACGCTAAGAAACAGTCATATAAATAATATAAATGCACAGTATCTTTTTATCTTTCTCTGAAAAAAAAAAAAAAAAAAAACTGTCTGAAGCAGATATCTATCAGTTCATTCTAAATTTCCGTAACTTCCACAGAAATCAAATTAAGGGAGGACTTTTCTCACAGAACTTTGTTGAATTATAATTGGAAACATAAATGGGAACACCCATGTACATATTTTTAGGCACATTAAATGCAAACACTGCTGCTATTATCGCAAATCTGATCAGCTCTCAAATACTCTTAAGTCATACTTTTAGCAGTATCTGGCTGCAGAATTGTATACTAACAATTACGATGCATTGTGCATATCTTTCACTAGCACTAGATTACATAATGCACTTTATCTGGGCTCTTGGCTCTTCCAGCCCTGTTAGGGAAAATGAACTGAGCACTTCTAAGCCTGTTGCTTAGAGCATCATAGAGCTGTGAGTTGCGTTAAACACAAAATATTGTTCCCAGCTTCGATAAAACCAAAAGTTGAATGATCTGGAAAGCTGTACTGCACACAACATGGCCCACTGCTACATGCTGAAATTCTACTAAATTCTCCCAGTCTTTTTAAAGGTTTCAGCTTTGTTTTTAACTATTACTATTTTTTTTTTTTTTTTATCTTATTCCTATAATTTTCATTAGATTTTAGAACCTGCCTTTCTAAAATAGTGTTTTTCAAAGAAAGAGAAAACCCTCAAAGAAGTGAAAAAGAGTGAGCATATTTGAGTAGAAAATCAGATTTCTTCTGTGTCGTCTGATTTTTCGTTGTAACCATGTTAAATCAGTTTAACTTACAAAAGGCAGTCCTAGAACATAAATATCTCCTGTCACAGTCTGTCATCTACAGAAACTCAAGAAATGCAGCAATTAACATCAATGAGGACAGCTCTATTTTAGATACAGGAGCTACAATAAGAATAAACATTTAACTGAAACCTTTAGTTTTGTTATTGGTATCAATTTGCCAAGTTAATTGATTAACTTTGTGCTGTTTTCAATGTGTGCTGCAGTCTTACTGTCATACAATCATAAAAAGATTGAAAACAACACGCAGCCCATGCTAAAAACAAAGGTTAAGTTCAGTCATGTCAAGTACTATTAGAGAAAAAAAAAAAAACAAAAAAAAACACACTACTGCAAAATGTATCCATTCTCTTGACAATCTCAGGATTGTAAGAACAGAATGAGGTAAATCTGTTGAACCTCATGAGGATTTCTGTACTCAAGGAAAAAAAATGAAACCTGATCTTCTCTTTGGAATTCTCATTGGATTTAAAAAATTAACTCCATCTTAAACAGCATATTGGATTTTGAGCTTTCATTTACTTAAAATGGAATTTTCTTCTCCATTACAACTTGCAACATTCATATCAATATTAACATTTTAGAATGTTTTAATTGTAATTCATCATGCTTAAATACTACTTCCTTTCATATCTGTTTTAACCATATCCATAAAAATCCATTAGACTGTGTACGCATGTGAAGATGCTAAAAGCATATTAGTAGAGTGGAACCTCCATTTTCTTTAGGAGAAACCCTTCACCTCTGGATTTGTATAATCAATGGATATCAAGATGTTACAATCACAAAATAAACAAGAGAGTTAGGCAAAGTGGACAATGATAACAAGAGAGAATAAATGGAAGGCTTACCCTTATGCTGGGCTCACCACAAAACACCAGAAGGAGGAATCTCCAGATAAGATCCTTCCCCACTGGTAGCCAGCTCTTAAATAGCACTAGGAGGGGTGGAGCCAGGCTCCATGCCTTCCAGCAGCACAGGTCAATTGCCTTCACCTGTGCTCCTCTGGCTGGCTCATGGTTCGCCTCAGGTGATCAATCAGAGGTTCAGGCTGTGACTCAGCAGTTCCCATACAGGATTTTAATAGTTATGCTTCAAAGCACATGTCATTTTAATAGTTGCTGAATATACAGCAGCTTCACCTGTCACTTTTCACTGTCCTGTAAGGGCATGGGAATGGACAGACTTCCAGTTGCAACAACCAGTTTGACAGTGTCCCTGGACTTTTATTTCACTATGTTTCCAGGATAACACCCACCTTTATCTAAAATCGAAAGTGAAGAGTGTTTATTTAGAATATCACGAACAAATACAGATTTCAAGACTTAGCATTTTCAGAATTAATATATCAAACCTCATAGTCTTTGATTTTAAAGCTTTGCCACCTCAGCGGTTTGCACAGTTATTACCTTCTGCTAACAGAGCATAGTTGTCTGTGGGGAAAAGGGTTCTAATACATACAAGTTGTGAAACAAGTTGGTTTGGAAAGAGTCAAAATTTGGATTCTGTATGGAAAAATAAAATGTTCCAGTGCTGTTGGATCTGTTTCTATAATCCAGGAACTTTTCACACTTTCTCCACAGTCCATGCTACTCTGTATGTGGATAAAAGCCACATGTATTTATTTTCAGCAGGTAAAAAAGGAGATAAATACACTGATATTATGCCCTAAAAGGCAGATTAATTGGAACACATTCCTCATTTCTTTTGAGGAAGAAACAGTAGTAAATTAATAACACCATATTTCATGCTAGAAAGCACAGCCATTTAAGAGACTTACACTTCGTCAGGGAAAACCATCCTGCAGTTTCTAGGTTACCAATTGAAAATTAATGAATGTGGCTGGTGAGCTCAGTCTTAGTAGAGGTTTATATGGTTTATATGCTGCAGGCTGATGATTTTTTGCTAGAGATCAAATAGCTCAAGAATCACTACTCCTCATGGTATTGCCTATTACACTAGAGATCAAGAGTTGAACAAGCATGAAGTTCATTCTTTTTCTGATAAATGCAATAGAGTTATCTGACTAATGCTCTTTTTTTTTTCTGTTTGCCATGAACAGGTGAGGGTTTTCATAGTCTGACTGCACTTAGCAAATCCTAAGTGAGTGGGTGCCACAGGCTGTATGCATGCTATACATTATTGCAGGCTGTATGCATGCTAAAATTATTGCTATAGAGAGCACTTCAAAAGATTTTTGACCTCACGTAATTTCAGCCCCTCTTCCAGCAAAGTCTTATAAGTTTAGAACAAGTCTTGATTACAGATGTGTTTCCTACTCCCCATAAGGATTTCTGTTCACTTCTGATATGAAGTATTTTCTCGAAAGTCTTTTGACATTACCGAAACAGACTTCTGACAAAACAAAAGAGAGCAGCTATTGTTGTTTTCTAACAAACTTCTTTGGTTTGTCGATATGTTTCCAAGCTTTATTTGCTAGTTTTAGGGGGAAAAAAAAAGAGTTCTGTATAAGCTGGTTACATGTGAGGACCTGCAATCAGAGTTCATCACAGAAAGCAGTGCCTGAGCAGCTCTCTTCAGTAAGGCAGAAAACTCCATATTGTAAGACATTCTTGTTTCTTATTCTTCTACATCGGTAGGCAAATTTAATCCAATAGGTCATACTTATAAATGATTGAAACTATTAATAATAAAATGTAGCCATTTAAGAAATGTGGCTACTCAAGTACCTTAGCAATATTTTATGATTTATTACCAGGCTTTTTCAATTTCTCCTTTTCTACATCAAGTGACTTTAAAATCAAAAGTACTAGCATGCATCAATCCATGATAGTCAGTTAAGAGGTACTGGTAACTATATTTAGCAATGCTGTGTGTTGTTTATAAGGAATGAATGCATTCATAGTAAAGATCTTTTAAAAAAAAGTCGTATGTACAGCTATTTCTTTTTCACATTTCCTCAGAACTGGAATGAAAACAATTGCCTTACTTTAATTTTAACATTTAGTAATGTACTAATGCTAAGTTCCTTTTTGCCAGTTGTACCTGGCTACCACTGAAGACATGCTGTTACTCTCCTGTTCCTCTCAGCTCACTGGCTGAAAACAGAGAGCTCCTTTTGGGTCAGGAGAGAACATATTACGTGTGTGTCTTGCACATGAGGACAGCTGAGACTTGAACAGGGGCCAGTAGAACCCCTGGGCCTGTCTATAGCCCCTTGTAGTCTCTAGGCAGGCAGCTCTACCACGTGTGCCAAAGGAGAGCTTTCCTTCTGGCAGAACCACTAGGAGCTGTCCAAAGTTGTCTCAGTGGGGAATCACTTAGGTTATCAACAGGCATATGGCAGGAATCTAAGTGATTGCATGAAAACAATTTTCTGGCAAACTGTTGGCCTAGCGCTTGCCTGCTTCTCATGAAGCTTTCCCGAGGAACAATTTTGGAAGCTGGACAAATACACATGTTACAGTGGTATCATCTGCTGTACTGGAGTGGCACTACTGGCAAATGCCACTAGATTCAATACGTTTGTGCTTCAGGTACCCAGTTTTCTTTGACTGTATTGCAGTATGTTGTGAAGTTGTATTCTTATCTTCAACTTCCAGTGTGCTTGTGCTTACTGTCTGTGAGAAATAGGTTCTGAAGAGGTCAGCTTTGCATTTGTTGATAGCATTCTTGAGTTCACCCTGGAGTTCATTTTCTGTCTATTGTTACTAGATGAAATATCATAGATATTTATAAACATGAATTGAGAGGACAGTTGCACTACGTAATGAAAGGAAAATATTGAGTAAAACTCCTTTATGTGGCCAATGCGTTCAATAAATATTTTTTGAAATAGCATCTACATTTTCACTAATGAGACAATATTCAGGCACTATAGAGGAAGACAAAATCACCTATAAGGGCCGGGAACCTTTTCGCAGACAGTGGAAAGTGTGCACTATGAAGATCTGATGTTGTTATCCAAACAGAGCTAAAGCACTAGCTTTAGGATTTAGATTCTGGAAATATGGATACTGAGTCTGCAAAGGAGTTCTGATAACAATCCTATTTTGCCTTTTTCCTTTTTTGGGGTTATGGAAAATATAAAAGTATCAAATGACTGGTATTCAAGTCACAGAGGAAAATAGTTGCATGGATATGGCAGAAAAAACTACAGAAGATATTGGAAATGTAATCTAAGGAATTTTAAAGAAAATAAACATTTTTAGGGCAAGTGAAAGAATCACAGTCGAGTAGAAATGAAAATAATTGGCCAGTTCCTCAAAAGGCATATATTTGGCAAAAGTTGCTTGATTAACAGAATTATGCCAGCATTATATCCTTTGTATCACATTTTGCACATAACATTTGTAAACTTGATTTTTTTCCAAAGCAAAATGTCAACAAAAATTTTCTTAAAGCAGAGAGTGAATGGAGCTTCCTTGATGGCAAAGCTCAGGAAGCACCACGGGTGTAGCTCCCTGACAGTGTGGGAGAGCAGTTTTTCATTTTATTTCATCAAAATATTGTCTGTAGGGAGCCATTCTATTCCTGAGTATGGCAGCACTGTGAGAAGGAGAAGAGGTAGTGAATGAGACAGGAAAGGAGAGGAAAAATAAATAAAGTTGATTGTGGTGGGGTAGAAGTGTTTCATTCAAGCAGATCACAAAGCCTTTTTATTCAGCAGCTGTTCACTGAGGTGTAGAAAGCTGTAAGTCTGCAAAGTCTCTTAGTCTGTAAAATGGTTGGAGAAAAGCTGGACATACTGTATCAGTAAAAGTTTAATCAAAAGCAGAAGTTTCTTTTTGTACTTTTTAATACGTATATGTAGATATGTATATATAAAACAACCTGACAGCACTTTTTCAGTTAAATTATAGTACATAAAACTGATCGTTTAATTGGAATAGAGTATATGAGTCTCGTCCTTGATATGCTTCCTTGACATGTCCTGAGAAACAACTAATGAAAATAATTCTCTAGTAATCATGGCAATCAGTTTCACACTGAGAATAGAACACAAGGCCTGCTCGAGATTAACAAGAAAGCTGATTTTTCTCCCCACATTTTCAGACATTTCAGGGTATCGTGAGAAGTACATAAATATTTGATATCACCCACAAGAATCTAAATATTCATGATAGACAAAACTTGTTCCCCACCTACAGGTATGCCTTCCAACTTATTTGCTCATTACCAATTACAAACACACCTACTACAGTTCACTTTTGAAAGACATCTTCCCAAGACAGAAAATTTCCATTGAGGTGTACTCATCATCCTTTTCAAAGTAAACTGATGCATACATCAGTTCATACAAGGTACAATGTGCATCTAAATCAGAAATCTAAAAGGAAACAGAGAAAACCAAAGAAAGGCTGACCAGAGAGACAAGACCAGAGCTCAGCTTCTGTACCATGCCTGGCCCAGTCATGAAACAGGAGATCACCAGCCAGGGAGGCAGCCCAGGTTTATTTGCTTGAAGAACAGCTTTTTTTTTTGCTTTTTAAAGTTATGCTTGCAGGCACTGTTACTTAAATAATTTGCAAATGGTAAAACTTCTTAGCAGTTCTAAAGTCAAGACTTTGCTGCTCTTGTGAACACTTGCAGCTCTTAAAGGCATTCAGGAGACTTATGCTCACATTAGGTAAAACAGAATTTATGCCCCAGGAATTTAAAAAAAATAAGATATGCAATAGTCAATAACTTTATCTTAGTACATCAAATTATATTCTCAAGAAACAGCATTGGTCTGCCTCCAGTATCTGTTTGAGCCTGACTCAAAAACCACCTGGCCCTCTATGGCAATCAGCAAACCTGCTTGGCTCTAAAGGCAATGCCTGCAGTGCTTAAGCTGCTTGTTTAACTGGCAATATTTCACTGAATCCAGCTGGAGTCAATGGGCTACAGCGAGGACCCAAACACATCACCAGTGAGGATGGGCTGATCTGCTGATGGAGATGGGTAGGAAGACCCTGATGTCAAATGCACATCGTGACAGAGCCCTGTGACAGGGCCTTCTCTGGTCATGCAGAAACCTTCACACCAACACAGTTTCATTTGTTTCAACCACTTTCTTACAACACGAATGCTTGCCCTCCCCGCCCCACCCCTACTCCCCCACCACCTCCGTCCCAAACATACTGACAGAAGGAATGGCAAAACAAATAAATAAAGACTTAGCCTCTGCTTCAGGGAAGCTGCCTCTCCAGGTTCCCATCTTCATGGTGGCCGGGCTGGAGCTGGTAGGCCTCAGTTTTCATGGCAATTGTGGGTGTGGAGGGTGCACGCTCTTCCCTGGCCCTGGCAACAGGCTCCAGGCTTGACTGTCTCTCTCGGCCGGCCGCCCCCGGCTGTCATTGCACGAGGCCTGAGCCGTAGCTGAAGGTGTAGCTGCTGGCCAGTGAGAGGGACTGCTGGTGCTCCTCACCCTGCTCCGAGGGGTAGCTGGGAAACGTCTGTGCCCGGGACACCTTCGTTGCGCCCAGGCTATGACCTGTGGGGAGTATGAAAGATGTATCAGAGAGGCAAGCTAAGGCTCAATGCTCGGGTTTGAGGCACCTTGCAAAGCAGGACTGGGATGCCCCAGCACAAAGTCATGGTGCTCTGTGTGTCTTCTGCATCTTCCGTTGGTGCCCTGGGAGCAGATCTATCCCAGTGGGGCTGGAAAGGAGGGCTTTGGCAGCTCCTGCATCACATGTGGGCAACAGATAACCAGATGAGGCAGGAGATCCCCAGACCCAACACAGAGGCCATTTAGGCTCAGGTTTTATATTCAAGTCGCAGAATATCATATCTATATATTTTACACTCTATAAAACTCAGTTATATTTCTTAGTTAAAGCTGATGCGGAACTAATGCACTTATTTATCTGAAGTCCTGCTTAAGTGGTAGAAGTTAAGTGGAAATGGAATATGCTCATATTGCAGAAGACTAGTTGATTAAAGGCTACTTGAGATCTTTTCTCAGTTAGATTTGAGAATTTCACATAATCATGGCTTGTTTGCTCACAGTCGGGGAGATGGAGAATCATTTGTGAAAAGACATTAAAGAGCAAATGATGTCAAAAATTAGAAGCTTACTTCTATGACTTGATTCTTTGTTCAAAATTCCCTCTTGAAACTGAGATTTAATTAGTAGCTAAACGTTACATTCCATTCTGGATGCATCTTTATTCAAAGTATATTCTCTATATTTTGGAAATATATATTTAAGTTTCTATTCAAAACGGTTTATGAAATTGCTTTCTAAAACATTCTTTAATACATGTATTATATGTTGGAAAACAAAATACTATTTTTCTGTTGAGCACAAACTAGTAAAGAACGGCTTTAATGGGGTGTACACTTGTAAACTGAAGAATTCAGCTCATGCTAAAAGGTTCTAAAACAACTAGCAATTTTCTAGAATGCTTTAGTAGTACTCGTATTAAGAATACTGTTGACCAGACTTGGCAAAACTTTGTCATAAATGTTGTATCTGGAAAAGTTTGCCTAAAACAAGTTACTGACTGCCTCATGAGAAAAAATCACAGTTCCCCTAAATGTCTATACAAGCAATGATAGGACCAAGAGAGAAATAAAAACTAAATTAAAAACAGAATAAAACATACATCTCAGTGACACTGGAGACAAAACAACAGATGTAATTCCCAACAGCATGGTAACAGTCATAATATCCCTTTCACAATATGACCAAGAAGAATGAATTTTGCATATGTATTTTTACTGTTCACTGGGTAGACACTGGCTATCAAAACTTGACTGATATACCAAGTTTAAACATTTCTGCTTCAAGAATCTTTTGCATCAAACTGAATTAAAATGTATGGTGACTGTGATATCTGACCTGCAAAGCAAAAGCATTGAAGAGCCTGTAAATACATTGACAGTAGTCTTAAATGCTGTGTTTTGAGCAATTTTAAACTATTATATTAAGAAAAGCCTTCATACTTTTTAAATTTGAGAATTGCAGCAAAATTCCTGTTAACTTTTTTTATAAATATTAATTCAAAGTGAAACATTAAGTAGCATGGCAATTGGTTCTAACCTTGTGAATCAAATCTGGCATCTTTCCTTCTTAGGGAGTAAAATCATGCTTTCTTTTTGCTGGAATAATATATTTTTAAATAGTAAATTGTTGATCCATGTGAATGGCTATGGATTTTTTTCTTTAAAACAAGATAAATAAAATATGCTGAAGTGACAGTTTCCTTCAGTCCCTTTCTGTATCTCTTCCAAAAAAATGTAGAAGAAAAACAATCAGTCCTTGTGCCAGTGAGCAGAAGTAGACACTAGTTACTCAATCGAGTTCTTAAACTTAGGCCATATAGCTTCTTTTTAATTCCCTGCTGTAGAATAGTGCAGTTTTAGTGCAGTGATGAACAGTGCTGCTGCTAAACTCATTTCTAGATAAGGTATTAAGGCAGTCTTTTAGATTACTGAAGATAAATTTGAACCTATTAAGGTTAAAAAGGAAATTGAATTCAGGTCTTCCATTTCTTGGATGTACACCTCAGCTGCTAGCGCATCCCTGTACCATTCTTTAAAAGAAATTTTTTAGCTGCTAAGTCTCACACCAGGACTCATTCTAGCCATTCTATAACTAAAGGGGCTGATAAGGATAACGGGTTCTCCCCTGATTGCTAGGATATGTATAAAGATAAAGACAGTCATAGATCCAAAAGATTAAAAGACACATTTAACAGATCCAAAAGATTTAAGACACTAGGTGTAGGCTCAAGCCAGTTTGACCACTAAGTAAGACCACTCTGTGGAAATAATAATTAAAATAACAGAATACATCAGTTCAAGAAGACACAAAAAAACTATGGGAAATAGAGAATTTTTGGCTTCTGGAAAGAACAGTTCTATGCAAAATGTTTACTTTTATCTCATTATTTTTTAAAGAACTATATTATGACATTTAAATAAAATTATTAAAAAAATAAAAAAGGTATTTCAAATTGACTTATGACTTCTAAGTAGTAACATTCCAAAAATCAGAACCTTCTTATAAAAATTATTTTGCGCATCCTAATTCAAAATCATAATAAATTCTTTTATCTGCATTATTACTGAAGATTATGTATATATCTGATACCTGACAGCTGATCAACTTTATGGAGCCTTGGCCATTGCAAAGTCTCCATGTTTATGCTTTATGTCAGCAGTAAGAACTGTGAAAGTAAACAGGAAAAGTTTTGCAGTAAAGAATTCTAATTCCAGTTTTCTAAGCTTCCTGCTTGAATAATATTTTCTGTGTCATTTTTTGGGGCTTAACAGGTTAAGAGGGAGGAAGGAGAACTCTTTCTGATGATTTTGTAGCTCTTTGGTTCCACAGCTGTTTTCAGGAATACAAAACTAACTCTTCTTTAAAATTCCTCTGAAGTCAGCATAAGAGGAATTTGATTATCGCACACTTTGTGACCTGAAGACACAAGCAGAATTGGGTAAGCTTTTTCCTGTGGCTTATGTATGAAATGTATTTTTGTTTCTGTTCTAGGATAGGACCTTGGTAAGTAATATTCAGTCTACTTCATCCCTTATTTAAACTTACTCTCAGGATCATAGAATGCAGTGAAGTTGTTGTCCAAAGCAATTAAGTATGAATGATTCATAAAGATAATTTAATGTAACCTGGAAAATTACAGCAAAATTAGATTTTTTCCTGTTGGAAGCAGAGGCAGTGTATACCAGGATCTTATTTCATGACACAGTGCTTATTTATAACAATTCTTCAGAGGAAAAACCCGATGGTTTCCTAGTAACAGCAGTGATTGATGTACATACAAGTAGATCGATCACTACTTCTAAGAGAAGACTTGCAGTACTCAGCTAAATTAAAAGAAAAAAAAAAGAGGTGCAGGAATAAACTATAAAAGCTCCCATACTGCTGCTTTTTGGAAGACATTTCTCTCTCTTTCTGGGATTAGGAATTCAAATTCTTCTACAAAAAGCAGGTGCCAAACCTCTTTCTTTCCGAAAGCAAAAAAAAAGGTCACACTTCTTTACAAATGCAAGAATTCAAGAAACTCTCTCATCTGATGTTCTCTGGTTAGAGCACTCAACTGTGATGTACAACTACTGTGTTAAATTCCCCTCTGGGTAGGAGTTGACATTACATTTTCTATAGTGGAAAAATCAGCTGAAAATGTTCCTTTTGTCCTCCTCTTTGCCCACAGCAGTTGTTCAGTTGTGCCACTGCGACTGTCTGAAAGGCTGCTTTGTAAAATAAAACACTTTGGTCATCTGGCCTGCAAGAGAGCCCTACAAATTTGTTGCACTGGCACAGCTGAGGAGCAGGAATGAGCAGCCAAGGAGAAGAGAGGGCAGGATTTTTTTCAGATTGGCTTTGGTTCCAATTCGTTTGTGTGGGTAATGATGGCCATGAACAATATGAAATCAAATTCAGGCAAATGAAATTGACACCACGCTATTCAGCTCTCTGATGCAGGATCACTTCAAAAGCTCTGTAGCTAAGATGTTCTATCATGTATGTGTATATTCTTATATATTGCAATGATTAAAAATTAATTGGAGCACAGACAGCATCAGCTTCTGTTGCAGATCCCTCTAAGTACCTCATATTAGATAGTTACTAGATGAAATAAAGAAACAGTCTTTTGCAGCTGCACAGCAAGCTTTCTTCTGGGATTTCCTAACCCCTGAACAGATGACTTTACAAACAAAACGATTTTCTTCTAATGCAGTTTTACTTTGCTAATTAATAATAACACACTTTATCTTTTAAAATAAAACTTGGCACTTCCCAAGATTGAAGTCATTAAACTAACGCCAATTAGATATTTTAGATATTATTTTGGATATTTGTACATGGAAGTGGCTGTGAGAATTTAAGAAGGCAAAAATACTTTGATTGTAAACGTTACAGAAAAACATAATTGTTGAAAAGAAATTTTGAGGAATCAGTCAATGTAAGCTAAGACTGAATTAAAAAAAAAAAAAAAAAGAAGAAGAAAAGGGTGAAGCACTTGCCACAGTGTAAAGCAATCTGTGCTTTAGAAATATCCACTGGAAAATTCTGTAGTTCTCAATGAATAGAACAGTCCAGAATCCACTGAAAATGAGGTTTCATCCACAAAGGATGGTGCAAAGAGGTGGAAAAAAAACCAGCAGTTAGCTAACAAATTTCACTTCAGGAATGAAATGTTAGTAAGAAATGTTTGTTCTTTGTTGTTTACTCACAGAGTTCTCACTGGACAACAAATGCAGCTCTTCAGCCAGAAATGTTCATAGAACCAATACCAGCGTTTAGTTTAGATTTATGTCCTCTAAGGGCTTTTCCAACAGCTGTGAAATCTCCTAGGTATATGAGAGGTGTTCCACAGACTGACCTGAGGATATGGTTTCAATGGGGAAGGGTATATTGAGATGGTTCAAGCTTTAATATTCTTTGTTAAGACGGGACGAAATGGGGAGAGGTTGTAGCTATGCAGTGAAAGTCCACTACAGGAAAAAAAAATGTTGTTGTAA